CGAAGGCCCCAGTGGCTGCGCTCCCATGCGCCCGCCGCGCCCATTTCGGCACACCCCCCACACGTTTCGTGGCCCCATAGGGAGCTCCAGCGAAGGCCCCAGTGGCTGCGCTCCCATGCGCCCGCCGCACACAATTCGGCACACCCCTCACACGTTTCGTGGCCCCATAGGGAGCTCCACCGAAGGCCCCCGTGGCTGCGCCCACTCACAATTGCGGTACTCGCAACTGCATCTGGTTGGGTCCTTCGCCAGGATAATTCCCAACCGTCCTGTGGTTGAGAGGTTGTTGGGTTCATCGTTTCCGGAAGACAGCGCCGCGTTCACTCCTCTCCGCTTCGCCCACTCCCTCCTGCCTATCATTCATCATCATATCACCATCACCATTCCCATCATCTCACCATCAATCATCATCATCCATTCATCATCATTCATGTGGCTGCGCTCCCAATTTGCGCCACCCGCACCCATTTCGGCCACCCCTCACACGTTTCGTGGCCCCATAGGGAGCTCCACCGAAGGCCCCATGGCTGCCGTCCGCATGCGTCCCGCACACTCATTTCGGCACACCCCTCACACGTTTCGTGGCCCCACAGGGAGCTCCACCGAAGGCCCCAGTGCTGCCGTCCGCATGCGTCCCGCACACCCATTACGGCACACCCCTCACACGTTTCGTGGCCCCATAGGGAGCTCCACCGAAGGCCCCATGGCTGCCGTCCGCATGCGTCCCGCACACCCCTTTCGGCACACCCCTCACACGCTTCGTGGCCCCATAGGGAGCTCCACCGAAGGCCCCATGGCTGCCGTCCGCATGCGTCCCGCACACCCATTTCGGCACACCCCTCACACGTTTCGTGGCCGGGGCGATCCTCCAGCGATAGGCCCAAGGGGGTGGGTCCATATGCGCCCCACCGCACCCATTTCGGCACACCCCCTCACACGTTTCGTGGCCCATAGGGAGCTCCAGCGAAGCCCCAGTGGCTGCGCTTCCCATGCGCCGACGGCACCCATATCGGATCACCTCATTACGTTTCGTGGCCCCATATGGAGCTACAGCGATAAGGCCCCAGTGGCTGCGCTCCCATGCGCCTCCCCGTCCCCACCGCAGCAGATTGCCGCACACCCCTCATCGTTCGTGGCCCCACAGGGAGATTACACCGAAGGCCCCAATGGTGGCTCCCATGCGCCACGCACCATTTTCTTCACCCCCTCACACGTTCCGTGGTCCCATAGGGAGCTCCAGCGAAGGCCCCAGTGGCTGCGCTCCCATGCGCCCGCCGCGCAGATTTCGGCACACCCCTCACACGCTTCGTGGCCCCATAGGGAGCTCCACCGAAGGCCCCAGTGGCTGCGCTCCCATGCGCCCACCGCACCCATTTCGGCACACCCCTCAAACGTTTCGTGGGCCCATAGGGAGCTCCAGCGAAGGCCCCAGTGGCTGCGCTCCCATGCGCCCACCGCGTAGATTCCGGCACACCCCTCACACGTTTCGTGGCCCCATAGGGAGCTCCAGCGAGGCCCCAGTGGCTGCGCTTCAGTGAGGCGAGATGACGGCCTACCAGCACAGTTTTCGGCACACCCCTCACGTTTCGTGGCCACCGCACAGATTTCCGCACACCCCTACAGCGCCATCGAAGAAGATACTCGCAATTGCGGTATTCGCAACTGCATCTGGTTGGGTCCTTCGCCAGGATAATTTTTCCCAACCATCCTGTGGTGTTGGGTCCTCGTTTTGAAGAGACAGCGCCCCGCGTTCACTCCTCCTCCCGCTGCCCCTCCCTCCTGCCATCAGCATCATCATCACCATCACCATCATCATCATCATCAGCATCATCATCATCACCATCATCATCATCATCATCATCATCATCAGCATCATCATCATCATCATCATGTGGCTGCGCTCCCATGCGCCCACCACACCCATTTCGGCACACCCCTCACACGTTTCGTGGCCCCATAGGGAGCTAGGGATGCGCTCCAGCGAAGAGCTCCAGCGAAGGTTGGCTGCGCTCCCATGCGCCACCGCACCCATTTCTGCACACACCCTCTCACGTTTCGTGGCCCCATAGGGAGCTCCAGCGAAGGCCCACAGTGGCTGCGCTCCCATGCGCCCACCGCACCCATTTCGGCACACCCCTCACACGTTTCGTGGCCCCATAGGGAGCTCCAGCGAAGGCCCCAGTGGCTGCGCTCCCATGCGCCCACCGCACCCATTTCGGCACACCCCTCACACGTTTCGTGGCCCCATAGGGAGCTCCAGCGAAGGCCCCAGTGGCTGCGCTCCCATGCGCCCGCCGCACAGATTTCGGCACACCCCTCACACGTTTCGTGGCCCCATAGGGAGCTCCACCGAAGGCCCC